TCCTATAATAGGACATAAGATCAAATTGGCCCTAAATGAAAGCACAAAGATAAATATGAACCTCAGCCATTCCTATTAGGATATATGATTTCACTTCCTTTGTGTCAAGCCTAAGCCATATATTGAATAATTTAAACATTTCACCACAAGCTTTCTCACGTTAACAGAATATTCTGCTAGAGTTCAAGAACTCCTTTAACCTATCTATTAATCAAACAACTATTGTGCTTAATGTTATTTATATCAAAACTAATGAAAATAACAAGGGTAAAAATTAAATGAACAACCATGTTTTTTTTATCAATGTTTGGGAAAAAGTGTAGCATCAAAAACTAGAACAAGATTACCTTCGAAAGGCAAGAATATCATCATGCTCTTCTGCTTCTTCATTCTCTCCCATGATTGAAGCAAAGCAACTCAGTTAAGTCAGTCAGCCACTTCATTATGATGGAAGAACTACATATAACAATATTTCTTTAATTTAAAACTCAAACTCTTTGAACCATAATTTGTTTACCGAATATGAAGAAAAATCCATAGCATATCTTCATTGCAAAATTGCATAACATGCTTTACCGATACCTATACATGATCTTTTATAAAGAAAGTTGTGAACTTTAACACTATGATTAGTAAAAACAGAACCAAACCCAAAAAAAAAAAATTTAAATAAAGACACCTATGATAATAGGTGCATTTGGGTGACTCAATTTGGGTTCAACGGTTAAAACAAAGTACAATGACTAAAAAAAGATGAAAAATCATTCAAAACGTCCCTCATATTTTGTAAAATAACTTTTTTTGTCCCTCACTTTTAAAAATGTAATTTTACGTCCCTTCCAAATTCGCATTGGTCAAATTTGGTCCCTACTTAGATTTTCGACTAGTTTTTGGTCGGAATTCCCACGTGCCTTGCACATGATCATATTTTAAGAGCAAAATTGTCAAATCAAATTTGATATAATTCGATTCATAATCCCTCACATTACATAAAATAAATTTTTTCGTCTCGTACATTTTACAAAATAAATTTTTTCATCTTTTATTGATCATGTGTGTGAATAATTTTTTTAAAACTCATGTATATATCTATTTGATTTCACCTGAAAAGTATGGATAACATGTAAAATCAAATAGAAATATATTATATACTATTCGTACTGTTCAAGTGAAATCAAATAGATATATATATATGGGTTTAAAAAAATTGTTAGTTTTTCACTTATATTCATTTTCTTTTACTCAAAATTTGAAAATAAAGAAGACATTTAATTCTAAATGTTATCGAGTGTTTATATCGAATTAAATTTGGACAGAAAAATAAACAAAAGAAAAGTATGACAAAAAGAAATAAGTGATTGGCACTTTCAAATATTAAGACAATCACAAAGCATGTAATTCAACTGTTGGTCTTAAAAGTGTCGAGTAGAAATTCAGGTTTAAATTGAAATTTGTTAGCACAATTATATAATTAAGTTAGGACCCATTAATTAGATGACCTTATTATACAACTCAATAAATAAATTATTACCAAAAGAGAAAGGTCACAAATATTGAATAGGTTCAAATGGTGAAATCATATAAATATATACATGGGTTTCAAATAAAATTATTAGTTTAAAACCCCTATATATATCTATTGAATAGCATGTATATAACTACGATTAGCATGTTTAGATGAAATCTAATAGAAATAAATTACATATTATTCGTACCGTTCAGATAAAATCAAATAGACATATACGTAGGTTTATAGAAAAAAAAATTATTCATACACATGATCAATGAGAGATGAAAAAAATCATTTTGAAAAATGTGAGGGATGGAAATATTTATTTTTTGAAATGTGAGGAATGAAACAATTCACTTTATAAAATGTTAAGGACGGAAAAATTCATTTTGTGAAATGCGAGGGACTATGAATCAGATTATGTAAAAATTTGATTTGACAATTTTGCCCTTAAAAAATGATCACATGCAAGTCACGTGGTGGATTCCGGCCAAAAACTAATCGAAAACCTAGGTAGAAACCAAATTTTGGTTAATGTAAATTTGTAAAGGACGTAAAATTATACTTTTAAAAGTGAGGGACGAAAAAAATCATCTTGTAAAATGTGAGGGACGTTTTGAACGATTTTTCCAAAAAAATCTATTGCTTACCTCCTAAAAAATGAACTTTTCACGGAGGGAAAAACTCTGAAAAATCCTTGCTAATGCTATAGGTGAAGTCTTGGATAAAAACTTGCATATTTCTCCTGTAGATTGGTTTAAGATGCAATTTTTGGAAAAAAGAACTGATGTTGAACGTGGGCATCCTCTGGTTGATCATCTAAAGCAACTAGCATCAGTTTTCTTTTAAGCCAACTTTCGTCTGGGTTTAGGCTTGTCGCTTGTTCTCCTGGAGTTTTATGCTTTTCGCTTCTAAGTTCTAATGTGGCCAATAGCTACTAAAGCCGCTATTAGATTGGGCTGGGAGACAATTGAATTAACCTAATCAAATTCAATGAGTTAATAAAATCTCTATTTCAACTCAATTTTGTATGCATTCAAAAAAAAGTCAATTTTGTATTATTGAAAACATTGGTTTGAATGCAATTTTGATTTATAAATTTATTCTGTGACAGCCCCACCTCCCCCTAGGGCGAACCAAAGGGTTCGACGGACCGCCTGCCCAATTTTCGGCGGGACTTAGTCGTTCACTACAGTTCTCAATTAAATTACAATATAAATTTTAAATATATATCAAATGTTCCACAAATTCAATTGCACTACAAACTAAAACCTCAAGAGATAAAAGCAATACTAATTTCCCGAATAAAACAAAGGTCCTCAATTCTCACATAAGTACAAGTACAATCGCAGTTTCAACTATCACACAAGCTAAAACTAAAACTCCAATTGCACAGTGGATCATCCAACCATTCACACGGAGAACTTTAATACAAATGTTTCCTTCACCTCGAGCCCTGTGGAGGGGAATAAAAATAGTTTTGAGGTGAGTTAGAAACTCAGCGAGTAACGAGTAAAATCAGTAATCAAATATATTTCACAATAATGCATTTCGATGATGTCATGATTCCGAGATCAAATGTACGTATTTTTGCTCTAATGAACTAGCGAAATCATTGCACTTAAACATCCAACGCTCAAATAGATCCTTTAACGTTAAACAGTAAGAGAGAGCCTCTTTTGTACTCCAGATGAACATAAACATGTAGTGGCGATGTTGGTGTTCAGCACAAGACTCCCCAATAATTCATTGAAGCCAAATTATGCCATGAACTCCCATGCAAGCACGCATGATATGCAATTGAGTAAAGAATGCACGAAACAGTTCATAAGTAGTTTTGAAAATAGTTTAGGGTCACTCACCTCCACGGCTCAGGAACCATCCATCATATATCATTGTCTTGCCCAAATCCAAGCCCTAAATCACAACCTCAAAGCAATCAAACCCTTTCAAAGTTCGGACAGTATTTCCCCTTACCTTCTTTATTTTCCACCCTACAATAACAACATCAAATTACATCTTACCAACCACAATTGACATACGGTTGGTAAACAATACAATACATCCAATTAGGACCACAATTCCCCTTCAATCAAGCCAATTAGAAGCTTAAAAGCTAACCATTAGAAAACCCCCAAATTAAACTTTAGGAACCGGAATTTCCGCACAAATCAGAAATTTTTCGCAAATAATCGTATCCAACGTATACTAGCTCCATTTTATACCACAACAAGCTATCATTCCAAGACCAATGAACCATAATCATATAAAATCAGAAAAATGCCCTATAAATCAGAAATTGGTCCAACTTTACTTAAAATCATGAAATCATCCACAATACAACATATTTAACCACTACAAATCACTACTATATCATTATTAAAATCAAAAGGGAACTTTCTTAGCAACTCACCTCAAATTCAAGAAAACTAACACCTTAGAGCTTCCCTTCCAAAATCATTCTGTCAAAAGCTTTAAACCTCCTTAGTGAGCCCTTGTATGGAGTAATTTGTAAATCCACCAGTTAAAATACAAGATTTGGACAAAAATTGAAGATAGAAAATGAAGAGATTTTTTCTTGTTTTTCTCTCCAAAGAGCTGGACAAGGAGGAAGCAAAAATGAAGATATTTTGCAGCAAAAACAAGATATATATGAAGGAAAACAACTAGTCAAAAGTGGCTGCCGGAGCTGCCACGTCGCAATCCGGCCGGAATCTGGCCGGATTTCAGGCCGGATTCAAGGCAGAGACGAAATCATTTTTTTTTCAAAACCAACAACAATCCGGCTAGCAATCCGGCCAAGAACTGGCCGGATTTGGCTCTTTCTCTTTTTGCAAAATTTTTCTTCTTTTTCAAGTTTAAAAGCTGCGCTCCTCTGCTCGTCCAATCAAAGATATACATAAAATGAAACCCCTCCTTCTTTTGGGGCGTCACATATTCAAAGAAACAAGCTAAATTTAAACGATTGACTTCGACTTGTTTGTAATTTATAACCCTAATATGAAACTTTTGCAATGAAAATTTAATTCGAGTGACATTTGTTGATTATTAGGTGGAAGTAGTGTGAACTAGATTTTTTTTTTTTTTAAGAAATAGTATATGTTAGTGATATAGAGGGTGGACACAAAACTAAAATCTTTTGTTGATGGTAAATTTTGAACCATTTTGTCCTCTTGTCAATCTAAATATCATATTAACGACTACTTGACAAAAAGAAGAACAAAAAAGCCCATAAAACGAAAATAGGATGCTTAATGTGAGTATATCGTAATATAAATTTTGTCTTAACATTTGTCTTTAGATTTTTATCTTTGTTCTTAGAAAGTGAGAAAGAGGAAATTACCTAAAATTAAAATCTTTAGTATTAGCTTAATGATATAGTTTTTTGCCCCTTTGACTCGAGTAAATATCAAAAGGCTCTCAAGCATGAATTTACAGCATTGTACATGTTAACTCAATCAAGCCATTTTGGTTATGACCATGACCTTGCATGTTTAACTCAATCAAATGGGACACCATATGGAAGCAAAAAGGTCCGAGAAGATGGCAATTCATCCTTTGGTTTATCAAGCATAATAAGCTGCTTACAAGTGCTGAAAAGGCTAGAAGACATCTTCAAGAGGATGCTTCCTGCAATATTTGTGGGGCTTGCACAGAAACAGCTCTTCACGCTGTTCGGGATTGTGTCTGGATCAAGAAAATATGGAAGGAGCTAGTTGTCTCACCCAAATGGGAGCAATTCTTTGAAATGCCACTTGAGGAATGGGTTGACTGGAATCTAAAGGATGGAAGAGCGGGAAAGCTTCAGACCATCAGTTGGGTAGTTCTTTTTAAATTAGTGGTCTATTTTGCTTGGAGTGGGAGGAATGAGTTCTGCATCAAAGGTGATGACAAGAAAACTCCAGGTCAGGACTAAAGAACTGGTAGCACAGGCAGAACAAGCGCACGCAGCTTTGTCCTCCAAAAGTAACCAGCAGCAAATGGAACTTTAGTTTTATCAGTTGGAGGCTTGGAGCAAGCCACCAGAGGAATGGCATATGGAACTTTTGTTTATCGGTTGGGGTCAAGCCACCAGAGGAATGGATAAAAGTCAATGTTGACGGAGCCTCAACTGACAACCTGGGGCTTGCAGGTGCTAGAGGGCTTCTACGAGATATTCTAGGAAGATGGCAAGGTAGTTTCTGTACTAAAGTAGGAATTGCTAGCAAAGGAATGTAGCAGCAGAATTATTGCGTTCAGAATCTGACATGGGATTTAGGATATCAACGAGTCATCTTAGAATTGGATTCAGTGACCAGTATATCCCTTGTTCGAGGGAACGTACAGGACAGCACCCACCATAACCTCATTGCCCAAGTCAAGCAGGCTCTTCGCAGAGACGGGGAGTCTAAAATATCCCGTACATGGAGGGAAGGGAACGTTTGTGCAGATTATCTGGCAAAGAAGAGCATCAACATGGATTTGGTCTTCCAGAGACTACGGAACCCACCAGATGAGCTGATTGAGGGGTGACCAACCCAAGATTTGTTGCTTGCAACAGATAGGGCATTAGGCCGTCCCAAAAAAAAAAATATATATTCAATCAAGAAAGTTGTCTCACTATTTGATTTCTACTCCCGTTGAGTTAATCTGATCGGATGGAGTTACTTATTGAAAGTTTAAGTTGAATGGTGAGAAATATTGAACTTCAAGAAAATAATGAACTACTACATTACTACATATAAAGCTATTTCCATCCCATCATTCACAAATCATTCTCATCAATATACTACCTCTCTTGAACTCTACAATTATACCAACTCATTGCGAATATAAACTCCTCATATTATACGGGGAGAAAATACCGTCCGATCGAGTTTGTAGAGTTTGCCAAAAATGTCATCAGAAGGCAGAGACCTGCGGAGAAATGAGGATGAAAGAACCAAAATGAGAAGATATGGAAATACAAAATGCAGCATTTCGAGATACGAATATTACATCCCAGCTACGATTAAGAATAAAATCTGTAGACGAATTACTAAGATACAACTAGCATAATATCCCTCGCCAAGCTCTGAGCATTGAGCAACATGCCCAGAATTTACACATTCTAAAGTAGAAAATTACCAGGAAGTCAAGTATAAGCAAAAAGTCCAGTGCGAGAGCCAGCTGCATTCCGTCTTCTCCCCTACATCAATTAACAAAATACACAATATTTTCAGCAAAACCTCCTGGCAGTACATGTAGGATTGAGGGTACAAAATTACACACCACCTCATATTTAAATAAGTCCTCTGCTAAGGCTTCCATTTGTTTTCTCTTTTTCTCTTCTTTCAGATATTCAGCTACTTCCTCATTTCCATAGTCCGATTCTCTAACAGAATAGCAATTATTGTGGAAAATCATACACAAACTGTACACGATATGTATTCTAGCCAAATCCTTCAGAGGACAGAAATCATACTTGTAAGGATCCTTTGAGAATGGAATGAGACTGCTGAAACTATTTCCAGACGGAGTCTCCCTCTAGAGAATTGCATAATGGTCAAGGAAGAGGATTAGCAAGAGAGAGAATTTAAGGAACATAATAATGAAAACACTCAAGGGTGCAGACAACCCCAGAAAACATCTTGAAGAAAGATTCTGACATAGGCCAAAAAAAAAAAAAAAAAAAAAAAAAAAAAATTCTGTAGACAATTCAATTACTTTCCTAGGCCTGGATAACCCACACCACAACCTACCTTCCCAAATGGCAGGTCAAAGTTACAACATGATACCACCATTATATAAAGAAGAATGCTCTCCAATCTACCAAATCCATTGTAGTATAAAAACTTGTTTCATCGCAACAGATATTAGAATCTGTTGAAAACTTCTTATCCACAAGTTTCAGTTTCAGTAATTACTATAAGTTCTCATAATCCAACCTAGATCAGAATCAATTACCTTTCGGAAACATTTAAAATTTATGACAGCATCATTTGTAGAAGAATGAACTGATGCTGATAGAGAATCTCTTACGATAAGATCTTGGCTGTATATAACATCCACGTTCCCACATTCTGACTCTTCAACTTTTTCTAATCTCGATCCTGTTCTACCATCTCTGTTCCTCAAGCCAGTGAAAGAAGCACCTTCAGACCATTTAATGGACACATTATTGCATGGTATCTCCTCTTTGATCTCATGTTCAATGGCATTTACACTAGCCAGAGTAATATTTCCCTTCCTATCAGTTTCAGTAGATTCTATTACATTGATTGCAGTTTCTTCTCCGCTATCATGCTGAGTGGATTCTATCATATGTAGATCTGTCATCTCTTTGCTGTCATGCTCAGAGGATTCTACTGAATAGACAGCAGTAGAGGTGTGAACGGCTGTGGCAGTTTCCACTTCTTCATCAGATTCTGCCACCACTGTCTCATCTGTGGAGCATGAAGAAGTGACAAGCACTGCAAAAGGAACAAAATATACAATAAAAAAGCTGAAAGTGCAAAAGATTACTCTTTCTTTGTAAATAAGGCTGAAAGTGCAAAAGATTACTCTTCCTTTGCAAAATTTATTAATATTTTATTTTATGCAAATGTAAAATTTCAATAAGGCCAAATGCATAATACAATTAAGACATGAACACAAAGTAATCCTTCCAAGTAGGCTAAAGGAAAAAGTTAATTGAGAGAACTTAAATGCTTCTGATGACAGCATCCATCACAGAGAAAATTTCTCCACTCACTTTGCATAAGCTCAAAAGTTCTTTCTTTCTTCAGTACTGGAGAAGATACATTGAATATCCACTGTTGTTGTCATGAGTCAAGTAAAAACTATTAGCACTAAAAACCAAGGACACCAACGAGAAGAATGTGGAAAGTTACAAAACTAAAACTAGACTAAGAGGTTTGAAAGATTGGGTTGTTTGGTTGGAAGGTCTGAAGAAGAAACTAGAGGAGGAGGAGTAGAACAAGAGTGGAGGAAGTTCAGAAAATAAATGCAAAAACTGTCTTGGAGAAAGAAGAAGAAAGAAGAAGTCAATTTCTTAGAAATCGATTTCATTAGTTTGGGAACACCAATAAAACCAACCATACATCTAAAATTTCCAATAGAAATATCAATATTGTAAACAAAGCCAGATATCAGATATATAATAAATCTAATTCCACATGGTTTTTCAATTAAGGCACTTTGTTTTGCAGCCGTTTTCTGTTGTTAGTACTCCTATTGTCTCATATGCCCCTTGGCCACCTACATGAATTCTGCAGGAGTTGAAAATACTTGCTGCACCCAAAACCCATTTGAACTGTTAAAGAATGAAAGAAATTCAGAAAATGTCTTTCCTGCAATGAGAAAATTGACCCCGTTTAGTATCCTGGGGATTAGATCCTAATTTTGACTAGGTGGTCATGTGCTAAGGGTGACATCTTGCCCTGTCAAATGGCATATACCCTGCACATCACCTGATTTTCTGCAAATCCACTCGCAGGCAACAAGAATATTATTTTCCCTCAACATTATTTTCCTTTAACCCTTCTTTTCGTTGAAGGACCACCAATATGCATCATCAAATAAACATCATCAAATTATTTTTTATCTATTTTGTTTAAAAAATGAAGAGAAATAGTTCTTGAAAAGAGGAAACGACAAGAAATTCATGCTTTGAAATTTTCCATGTGAAACAGTTAACTGGGACACAAAAACAAGGCAATGCTGCCCAACCCGACAGTAAGGCAGCTACTTACCAGGAGGTGATACAATGATAAAAGGATCCAGATGTCCGGATAAGACGACTGAAATCAAATCCATCTCATTTACACTAGGCAGTGACCTAATGCTCTGAGAGCCGTTTGAACTGCTGGTTGCTCCAGTAGGAATTACCCTTACCACATGTCTAATTCCTTCTTCCTCCAATACCTGTGAGCATCATCCCATTGATCAACAATGAAGAAATGATTGAACCCTCATTAAAAGTTTTTACCTTGTAGTGTTCTCTAGATACATTGACTACCTCTAACTACAAGGTCAATAGTAGCTATGTTAATGCAACTATCTTGCATTGAGGAGTAACTAGGCATAATATACCTAGAAAATGTAAACAACCAGTCATGTTATCTTGGCTATCAAGCAGTAGGTAAAGGAACATACTTGGCTATCAATGCAGAAACCTTCCAGGGAAGCAACTTTTGCACCACCCACTTCCAGTAGTGGTTGCAACTTGTCCTTGTGTCTATACTGTAAGGCAGAAGAAACGTAAGCCACAGTTGAGGGTCAAGCATCTACCAAGCTTGTCCAAAATTTTGTAAAAATGGAGTGAGACAGCAGATAACAGTTATAACAGCAGTAATTACAGCTGTAACAGTAGTAGCAGAGTACAACAAAAAATTGTGCTGTGCAGCTATTAGTTTGAGATAACATTCATTTCTCTCTGCTAAACATGCATTTTATTGCATTTTGTGAACCACCTGAATGGATAATGTCCATTCATAATTTACTAGAATCATGGGTTCCAAGAAGCTGGTTGTTAATATGCTGAAAGTGCCACTGGAGCTATAGCACTTGCTTGACTACTCAGACACAATGGACATCGACCTACTTGTTCACCCCAGGCAAACAAACGTAACAGATAGGAAAGAAAACTCAAATTATCACATGAGATTTCTGAAGTGAAACAGGAATAAGACCTTATTTCTTGACTCCAACAAAAAGGTATATCCATTCAAACAATTTTCTCGAGATTGAGGGTCTGCAACTCTGACAGATGCCTCTTCCAGCAAAAGTGTCGGAGAATAACTGAGAAAAAGGACACAGCTTATGCAATAAGCTTGCCAAAAGAAAGCTTCCACTATAAGCAGAAACAACAACACCATGCTCTAGCAATGGTCCCACAAAGAAATGAAATCCATGCATTACTTACGACAAATAGCTTGGAATTTCCGTGCATATGTTTTTCCCTGCAATAAACTTTGAAAGACGAGTATTCAGTTATCAAAATGTTTGAGTCATTATGTTTAGAAATAAAGTATCTACTAGATTCAGAACCACATACAATAGGTAGCAAGCGCAGCCAATCAAAAAGTAGAACTTATTGTAAACCATAAAACTCCAACTAAAGCTAAAGATGGGCTGCCATTATTGCAAGGCAGAGCTTCAAGGAACCTAGTGAGTATCAATACTAGTGGAGACTATAACTGGATATTTAAACTTCCGAATCCAAGCAGTACAATATCCATACTTAGTCCTCACACTCATAAAAAAAAAATCACTTCAGAAGTGAATCAATCTAGAAATGATACAGGAATGATGTAAATATACCTCAATCCAGTCAAAGGAGATGAAAGGTTTTTTAGCCACAATAGCATCAATTAACTCTTCCTTCAAAGGAACCAAATCATCAATCAGCACATGTGTGCACTTTAAACTCCACTCTTGAGCAACAAAAGCACCTGATTCAAAAAGCACGACTTACTCAAAATACAGAATATCTGAAAAAAGTCTCATTACAAATTTATTTGCAGATTTAAACCAGTCAAGAAATGTCAAAA